AGGTTTATTCAGATTTTTTGATAAGTTTCTAGAGCTCTCTAGCGAAAATATGAATATCTAAATCCATACGAAAATTTTTAGCGCAATTCCAGTTATCGTCGTCTATCATGGTCCGAATCGTAGCTAGAAGGCCACTCAATACGACCCAAGATGAATTTTTAATTGGTACGTAATATAATCATATTTGCCGCTATGTCAGAAAGTTCTTCAGGTAAATATACAAAAAATGTTCGTGCGTTTTTCTCGAAATTGGTTTTTGCATAAATTATCGATCTCTGAACAAATTTTTTTTTTATATAGTTCGTTCTAGTGAAGTGCGGTATTTTTTATTCGGTAGATAGATGCATCCTCTTTCGGATGAGGAAAAGATTTTTCGTCCGCGTTGGTGCCTTCTTTTAAAAAAGCTTTTTTTTGTATTACTATAAATTTCTCGACTATTATTCGTATCGACCAATTTTCGTAGACCCATAAACGAGGATACATTATCCTTGTCAAAAATGGCTGGAGAAATTGTAAGAAAGCTATTGAAAATCGATAAAAAGCGTCTTCGCAGAAAACGCAGGCGCGCTACACTAATCAATAGCAACGTTTGCAGCACAAGTAAAAGTTAATGTAACTTATTTTGACTATCAAAGTTAGTGTAGCTTATCTTGATCAAATGAGAAAGAAAAATAATCATTAGACGAAGCTGAGAAATTCAAACTAATGTTTTTCTGCTTTTTGACTTTTTGGATTGCATAAAAAAAGATGTCTTTCAAAGTAGGTGAATACTTAGTCTCAGATCGTCATTCTAAAGTATTCTTTTTTTAGAGTAAAAATGGTCGGAAAAATAACTCACTTTGAATGAAGCTCGCCGTATATTGACGCACTCGACAGTTTCGTATCAAGTAGTAGTGTTGAACATTGCTGCCCAATGATGCTTCATTTGAGATCGTCGCCGCTTTGATCTGTATTAAAGAGAAAGAAAATCAGAGTGATATACATTTCTATGTTCAGAAAAAAAATATGTATCATCGATGATCTTTCATCATCAACGTATGCACAAAAAAAATGAATAAACGATCTGGTGATGTTGTGTAGCAAAATTTACTTTCTCACATAATTACGAAGTGATTGTTTTAAATCCATGTTGATTGATGCATGTATATAATCGAAAAGAAACTAAATGATTTAAGCATGTTTTTGGCGGAAAACATTTCGTAGATGTCTATATCTCATTCAACTCCGAGTTTAATCGTGATCATTACCCACCGATCGGTTTTACTTTGTCTCAGAGTCAGTTTTCAATGGCTGTATTCACTTCTATGATCCGATGGAAAATTTTTTCCTCTCAAAGCCATCTTGACATACGAAGTCGATCGTATGGATCATGAGCATCACCTCACTTTTAGCAATTAGTCTTGTGATGCATTAGGAGAAAAGGTATTTCACAAGATGGACCATAGTTAAAAGAGAGGGCATGGATTTTTTCATGGAAAAAAAATTAGATATCTGATGTACTTAAGTTTAATGCATTGTACAGTGCCAACTTGTACACGCTATCTAAATAAATTGACTTCAGATTTTTCAAGAATTGTTTAATGATCGAAAAAGCCGATAAGGGCCGAAATTTCGAAAAGTCTCTTTTTTGAACCGTCGACTGGTCTGAAGAAAATCTTGTCACCATTTCAAACCTTGCCACTAATCCTAGTTTTCATGCGCTTTCTGATGATCGACACAAAGTTGAGAAAAAAAGGATGTGTCAAATCTATAGAATTTCTGGAAAACGTATTCAACATTCCTTAGGCTTGTAAGCAAAGCAAATATTCATATTAATCCACATGGAAGCATCACGCAAACAATTCGAAAGAAAAACAATGTTTACAAGACAAGTGCTTCTCGGTAGAAAAAAGGTAAACTCACATTAAATATGTGTCGCATTGATTTGCTTATCACATATATTCGTCCACCCATGGCGTGCTGCTCGAGTGCAAAACCAGCATCACCTTTTATCAATGAGTTTTTCTCGTGCGTACCAATTTCTGTTGGTGTAACAAAAATGTTTCTAAAATCAAGTACATAAATGTTGAACAGACAGATAGGAAAACGACACTCACGTGGATGGATCCACATCGAATCCTAGTCGAGACATTATGAATGGCGTGAATATATGACCACATTCGTGAAGCATCTTAGCGAATGCGACAAGATTATGTGCTTCTGTTTGATCTTCATTGGTTGTAAGAGCCTTGTCAGACCACTAGAAGGAAAGATGAAAAGAAAGCCAAAATTAGCGTTCTATGAGACGTCCTCATTCGGTTTCGATCAAGTAAAATGTTTCATATTTGACTATAATTATACAGGCTCCTCCATCTGACATTATCGAAGTCTATGCATACGAAAAGTTAAAAAACAAGAGATGCCATAAAATTTTTTCTTCCACTTTAGACGAACTTTTATGGAGCTACTGTACATCAGAGGTAGGACGAGTTCAAGTACAGCAAGTAAAAGTATTTTAGTTGTACTTTTACTTGTCCTTGCACAAGTATACTTCCCCAAATCCTAATAAGTGAGTTTGATGATTTTTTCATTAGACTAAAAGTGAAACAATGTGTGATGGTGGCATGGGCCATCATTCTGAGAGAAGTAAAAAAAAATAATACTAAAAAATAGTCTTCTTCTTATTTCAAACAGAACTTTTCATGATATTATCACTAGGAGAGGAAGGTTACAGTTACCAAGTAATGAGGTAACGGAAATTTTGTGAGTTTATCAAAACAAAACCTGTTCTTCTAAATCGACGATTTTTATATAAAGTTTGGCGAAAAGTGTTCGGTGTCGAGGAGTCAGAATCTGTAATCAGTTTCTCGAAATTTTCAGTTTCATTTTTACAAAAAATAATATTTTTTAGCATTATTTTCATTTTTACTTCTCTCAAAATAATGGGCCATCTCACCATCACACATTGTTTCACTTTTAGTCTAATGAAAAAATCATCAAACTCACTTATAAGGATTTCTCATTACTATTCTTGTGGAGAATTTCACGGACATCTTTCAAAAAAAAGCAGAATTATACGATTTATCTGTGCTGAGGCACTTGCAAAATATTAGGTGTTGCAATCGTTAAGATTCGCCCGACATAAGTACTAACTACTTTTCCCAAAGTACAAGTACCAGATTCTTTTTTCGAAGTACAAGTACAAATACAAGTAAAAAGTACTTTTCTCAAAGCACAAGTATAAGTACCAAGTACAAATGATGAGTACTTGTACTTTTACTTTTCCTTGAAAAAGTACAAGTAAAAATACTTGCGTCCGAGTTCTGTTATACATACGATACAAGTTTGGATTTAATCGGAGGAAAGCTTATGGTTAAAATATCTAAAACTAATAGATTTAGCGCATGGCTTTAGTAGTAAGTTACTTGGAACCAGACTTTGCTAGATTTCGATTATCTTACACGACAGAATCTCAAATTTTCTGTTGCTTTTGAATGCTCAAATTTTCTGCTATCTTCAAAAAATCTTAATGAAATCGTAGTATTTTTCAGACTATGACGAAATTGACATATTACACTCTGATCAACTCCTCTGATATAGGGAATATTTCTACTAACGATGGAAAAAATGCAAACACTTTCAAGAACCACTGTGCAGCTATTTAGTATTTTATACAAAGTATTTCTACATATTCAACAGTTTTATCTGTAGCTAGTCAAACAATCTAAGAATGAATTTTTTGAACGAGCAACGCCTAAGAAATCAGCAGTCTACGATAAAATACCTCAGCCTGTCGTTATTATGAGTAATGTCCCTAATAAGGATGGCAAGCCAATATGTTGTCTCTAATAACGACGGACAAGCGCAGAACAAGCAAAATAACGCGCTTTATCCGAAAAAATGTCTTATTTTACAGCTTCTGTACAATATAGAGACAATTTTTGCTAATGATTTTGTAGATATCGTCAACTTGTATATAAAATATGCGATTGATGGAAAGGGATTGTCTTTTTGGTAAACTAGAACGTGTAAACAAAAACATGATCCGTCGTTAATCAAGACGATAACCTATATAATAAACGGCAGACCGAAATATGTTCCTAATAAAGACTCGCTAACACAGAATAAGCAAAAGAATTTCTGCTTATTCTGCGCTTGTCCTTCATTATTAGAGGCAACATGTTAGCTTACGATCGTTATTAGGGATATTGTTCGTAATAACGACAGACTGAGGAATTTGTCGTAGGCTGTTCGTTTTTCAGGCGTTTCTCAACAGAAAAATTCATTCTTAGATTGTTTAGCTTGCTTGAGATAAAGGATTTTAAATACCTAGAAATACTTTGTATCAACTACAAAATAGCTTCACAGTGGTTATTGAAATTAATTGTATGTTTCCCTTTAGTTACTAGGGACACTTGCTATACATGACTACTTTGGGCTGCGATGCTGAAAATTATACAGTTGAGTTTTTATTTGTTGATGATTCTCTGATGAAAGTTTCAGGTCAATAGATTGTAACTCGACCAAGTTATGATAATTTCTTTGCAGACTATGGAACCTTGAAACGACAAGATACATGTAAGTCTGGCCTGTCATACAAAACTTTATTCACTTTTGCATGTTGTCAAAATAACCATTATTTTGAAACTTTCCCTAAGCAATTATTTCTAAATATTTCTTGAGAGTATGTTTACCATGCAGTTCGACGAGCTCTGTCGCACGAGGTATAAATATAAATAAAATAGAATCGACCCTTTTTTCAATTTTCAGCATCTTACGAGGAATCCTTTCGAATTGTCAAATAGCTTTTTTGATCGAGACTATGTCAATTTGACAAATCCTAGTGAGAAATGAAAATATCTAGAATGGTTTGGCTTTTCAGACTTCGTTCCTGAGATATTGAAAGTTTAATGTATTTTTTCTACGAAATACCGTAATCTCCTCAAGCCACCTTAATAATCGACTCTCGAGTTACGACTTAAAACTTTGCAAAATAAAGTTCTCAATAGGATTACAGTAGATCAGTCTCTAACCTTTTTATTAACAATTATTTTTCCGGTAAGTGTTTGTGCATTTGATGGATTATCGAGTGGTTCAGATTCCATAAACGAATTCCGATTAATAGTTTCAATATCAAGTTCTATTCGAGTTTGAGTGAGCATTTCTTCAACCAAATCAGATATATTAGTCGATGATCGATTATGATTGCTGTCTTTGATCACCGGAAGACAGGCAATAAAATCTTCAATTAGCTTTTTGATTGATGGTATATAAAGTTGACGATTCGAGAAGAAGGCAATGAGACGAGTTGTAGCTTCAATGATCAATGGTGACTGCATCAGCGCAAATGTGCGTTGTCGTTTCTTGTTGTCAGTGAGATCAGGATATGATATGCAGAGACCAGATTGTGAAATAAATTGTGTTTTCAAGTACGGCACCGATTGACAAATATCAACAATTGTATTAGCAATTTCACCAGGCATTCGAAGAGAATCAGTAAGACGATCAAATAAATCAGCAGCACCAATCTGTCAATGATAAAAACATAATTAATCATTTTCATTAACCTGCCTATTTAGAAGTTAATTCGGATCCATCCTGTTTCCACTAGAGAAGAAAATTTCTCTGAACTAAGTGCTCTTGCATAAATTCTTGTACAAATATCGTTCCCGTAGCATCTCAAAAGAGATACTTTTTAATTAAATATATAGCTATTTAAAAAAGCTACAGCTATTTAAAAAAATCGTTCCATGTCTCTGCTACAAGGACATGCTTTAGGAAAAATCAAAAATACGTATTCATAATCAATGTTCAAAGAGTTTTTCTAATTATATGTTCAAAAATTTCTATTTCTTCTCATCTTCGAATGGCAAGTGCATCTTTGAATAGAACAAAAAAGTAGCTTGTAATGAAAAAATATGAATAGCTTTTTAATTTTAACAACAATAGCTATAAAATGATAGATCAAACTTTGAGGTGCATATAAGATTATGGAACAGACTTTTCTCCTCAAAGTATATCCTTGTGGGCCTTTTTTTTTTCGTAGCAAAATGTGGTGAAATATTTTAAGTAAACGAGTGACTCATAAAGAATGAGATGCATTTGTTACTTTTTTGGAGTAGCTAAAGAATAAATAAAAGTTCATTTTAACCTCATTTGATAGAGCGTTCTTCGCACTACAAAAACTATCTGCGTTTTGCAAAAGAGTTTTTATTGTGGGCGCAAAGTTGAAAAGATTAATACTTCCTCAATCATTCTATTGCGACGTTCGAAAAACGAAAAACTTGAAATCTGTTTAATAACAGCTTCATCGAAATTTGAAGTATGCTAAACGACCCTCCACAAAGTTCTGTATCTTTTGATATGCGTTTTAGAATTTTAGAGGAAATATTTGGGTGAAACCTAGATGTCATTGATCTACAAACATGCAATTTTTTTCCCAAGCACTTCAGATAATTTTGCATGTTTTTTTTCCGTGTTAAAAAATTTTTCTCCTTTGAATTTTCACAGATTTTTTACAAAATTAGTCCCAGAAAAAAAAGCGTTCATCAGGGTGTTTCTCGTATTTCAATTTTTTTCTCATCAATTCACTTAAAGAAGAAATTAAAAAAAGTACCATCAAATTGTCTTAAGCACTTAAGAAAAGTTTCAGCTCAATCGGTCAACGTCTTCTGTCAGGTATTGAAGAAATAAGTTAGGGTTTTTCGACTAGTTTCGTCGCCTATATCTTTCTAAAAAAAATATCCTGAAATTTTGAGTCTATGACGACTGTTGCTCTATAAGAATAGACAACGTGGATGTGTAGGCGCTTCCAGGAGTAAACGAAGAATAGGTCAAACAAACTTTGAAAGGATTGAAAAAACGCTCAAACACAGCAACAGTTGTCCTTTTTCTTTAAAGTGAGCAGTGACAATTGAAAATGGAGAAAAGAATACGTACGTTGGCATTAACAGCTTGTGTATAAAGATTCAGCAAGGATCGTGCCGTAGCTTTTGCATCTTGAATTGGAATACGTAAACGATCTAAAAGCAGAGACCAAGTCGATGAAATACGTATAAAATTTGTCTTGCGGTAACACTAGCGACATACTTGCTTGATTATTGAACACGGTTCCATATAACAGTTGAGAGGTCATATTGCAAAGTTCTTTTGCAACTAAATGGAACACAATAATTAAATAATCGTTTCTAATCTTACGATTGAAGAGGAAAAGTTCCAGCTGATTATCTCTAGTCAATAGAGATGTGCATATTTTTCGTGATTACTGGTGTAACCAAGGTGTGGTTAGAAAAGCTGTCCACACCCTCCCCCCCTCTCCTACCGAATTTTTGAGTCCCTATCCACAATGATCGAAGTCACGCAAGCTAAACTTCGCCACAGGCTCCTCCGACAGACAGAGTCCGGCTACCTGAGCCTCCCCCACCAGAGAGTCTGCCCAGTTATAAGCCTTTCCCTTGTTAAAATCCTGGTTACACCACTAGTCCTGGTCATTTCTTCCCACGCCAATTCTTTAAATTAAGTTCTAAAATTTTCTGAAACACTCCACTTTGTTGAGAAATGTTTGCTCTTTCCAAATATGTATTCTCAAATGGCGAACGATTTTTCTGTGGAAATTTATCTCCAAAAAGTCACCGAGACAAGACTTGATTTCAATGAGTTTTAGTATAAGTTAATTGATTTAAGTACACCCCTCTTTCTTGACCCCGAAAATTTAGTTTTTCCGATTTTGAGTTTTTTGTCTCAAATCATACATTCTAGTGTGCTCTATCGAATGCCACATAAAAGAAAAGTTTTCATATTTATTTAGATTAGGGGTGAGAAGTTATTGTTATCTTGTTGTTATTAATAACAATAATAATAACAAAAAAGTTATTGTTATTAATAACAATAA